TCAAATATCATATATATTTCTCTCTAATTTAAATACAGGAATATTTATAAATTGAATCTTCATCAAAAACAATAATTTAAAACATAATACATAAAATCATACAACGATTTAATCTTAATTTTAACAAAAATAAGTGGATGGAACTAGCTTTTAATATAACTGTGTTTATATTGCACATATAGGCTATCACACATAGATAGGGCTCTTCTTTTCTAGGTTCAGTTTAAATTTCTTTCCTTTTCAACTCACAAACAAGAAATTCTTTCAATGCAACGTTCTGATAAACCTTTCAATAAAATTTATCAAGAACATCTCAGAGCCCTTCAGTTAAAACATAAAGAATATATATCCCACAGAAGTCGGATAAACAAAGAAAATAAAATAAAATACAAAAATTTAACAGTGGAATAACATTCCTTAAAAAAACATTTCCAGTAATTAATAAAGCCTCAAATAGTTATAAAATACTAAGAATATTTCTAGCTGTTGGGTTGAAAAATAAGTCCCATTATTTTCAATTCTGAGAGTATATTGTTCACCATTTTCAAATTGTATTTTATGTTTAATTTAAAGATGTATATTGCTCAATAATTTTACAAAAGGTTAGCTAAGGGCACAATGCCCCCCTCCAAAAAAAAGAGCTTTTAGATACAGAGGGGACTTGTTTGCCAACCCAATAAACTAAAAAGCAAAATTTAGTATACCTAGCTAATATATTAAAAGTTGATCTAAATGAGTATTTACACATTTCATTGATGAGGCACTTTATGTAAGAATCACTTCTCAAAAATAACTTTTCTATAAGAAAAAGCCTTCCAAAGCTTATTACAAGTTCATAGCCATTATTTTTTCATGCCAACTTTCATGAAAATTGTTTGGTGGTATTAAAAAAAAACAGAAAAAAAATTAATTATAAAATACAATGGAGACATCATAATACACATGAATCATACTAAAAATTATGAATACTTTTTAAAAATTATGTTTTATTAATGTTTACTATCAAATGTCAAACAATTTTTTTTTCTCAAATCATATACATACAATTTGTTGAGGACGTTACCTAATTTCCTAATAGTTATAGAAGACATAAGAGCCAATATGCTCATGATATGAATACCAAGACTAAATCAATATAACAATTTTGATCACAGTCTTCTGGACTTAAATGAGGAATGAGAAAATAACCAAATTTAATATCTAATACTGATATAATATTCACTAAATTATAATTACACTATCAATTATTTTTTTTACTCAAACTCAATGACATTGTATTTTAATAACGGGAAATATCTCGTTTTAAAGATGTTAATATTGTGTCAGAAACATGTGTATTAAGGTATTTAATTATAATATAAAACTGTACCGTATATTATTAATAAGAAATTAAAAAAAAAAAGTTTCCAATAGAATTAATAAAACTACAGTCATACAAGAAAGTTCCTTGAAAAAATTTGATTTATAGAAAGATTGCAAATTTTCATCCTTATCATAATATAAATTATAATAATGAAGAGAAGAATAGTTGGGGTGGTCAGTCAAAAATAAATGATAATATTTATTTTTAAATATTATCATTTAGTTTTGCCTTCTTTTTTGACTGACCACCCCAACTATTCTTCTCTTCATTATCCACGAAAGTCAACCATTTACCAATTATAAATTATAATAAATAACATTTTTAGAATTGAAAAGTATCAGAGCCATTTTTAGGGGATTATATTTCTATATCACTGCACGGATTTTAATCGTTTTCTAGCTCCTCCAAAACTTTCAAACATTTTAATGAAAATTCACTTATTTATGTTAAGATATAGTAATTTCTTTTTCATAAACAAAAGCAATACTTTTTTTCTTCATGACAATAAGAAAAATACTTCTCAGTAAAATTTTAGAAAGACTAGCTAGCTAAGTTATGAATGGAACTTCAAATATGACTATCAAGCTATGTTGGGAAGTGATCAGCCGACTATAAAGTCTAGTGTGCACTCACTATAGATGTGACTTCTTCTTTTTTTTTTTTTATGTCTATAAATTTTATTCTATACACGAAATATTTTTTTCTAATAAAAATTTATGATTTAAAAAAAAAAAGTTCGATATATATGGAAGCTAGATTGTATTTGAAAATGTTCATTTAAAAATTATATTAAAAACTGATGCTAAAGCAAACAGTTTGATGGTCTTTCTGAAATTTCCTATTAAAAAGAGAAATATGTATTATTAATAAGAGGCAACTTTTTCCCCAATTGTACTGTTGGTCGTACTGAATACATAAACCTATAATTAATAAACATAACTACATAATCGAATCTCTGTAAAATCTCTGGAAAGCATCACCAAGATCTTTTTTTTTTTAATTTATTTATAATGTTTCGATCATTAAAAATAATCTTCACAAGGTTTTTAAATCAAATAATACTTTCCAAGATACGATTTACAAGTTATTACATCAATTTGAAAACTCAAAATATATTTTTCAAAAACAAAAAGTGGTTACATTAAATAATTAAAAAGATATTTAAAATTTGTGATTTTCTCATTCCTGATAAATTTGAATAATGTAATGCTATCAAATAGAATTAATGATAAAGATAAATGTAGTGAAAATATTGAGAACAACAATGAATGATATATATACATAATTATTATAATAAAATAAATCATTATATAAAGAATTATGTGATGTGTTAATGAAATATTAAGGCAATTACTTACAAAAATATATTTTTAAATATATAATTTTATATGAATGTATATATATAGATATTTATATATATATTGTATAAAGAAAAAATAGTTTTCTAGTATTGACTCTTTGAGACCCATTATCTCAGTCTCAAAAGTAATGATTAAAATATTCTTATAAAATTGAGAATTCCATTTATATACATCCGTGTTATTTCACTTAAGTACATGAATCAACTTCCTGTAGAGAGTTAGGTTAATTATATCAATGATTTATTGTCTTTTTTATACAAAGACACTTCTAAAGGAAACTATCACACAAAAAAAAAAAAAAAAAAAATAGTAAATAAAAAAAATATAATACTGAAAAATAATGGTAAAAAAGTTATGAAAGTGAGTGAAATTTATATATAAGGATAAGGTACTTACATTGGAAGGATTCATTTTCTAGGAAACAGTATTTAATACACTTAAAAAGTGACTGAAGTAATTATAAATTTAACACTTCAAAAACTATAACTAAATCATTTGGAAAATGACAATGAAGGAGGTCTATTGGAAATAATAAACACTCCTTTTTGTATGAAACATTCCAATTACCTAAACCTGTTCTTTGTATCAATATCAGGGTTGTTTTTTGTAATAACAACCCTAAGAATAACTGTAATAAATAATAAAAATAGAGGATGCTGTGTTTCATGCCTAAACAGCTCCTGAAAATTAAAAAAGTTAATTAAATACAATAATTCTTTAATGTAATATAAAAATAGTATAAATATTTATTTATTAACTAAACATAAAAGTTGAATATCAAATTAAATTTGAAATTTGTAAAATTCTTTCCAAGTAGCAAATTTTTTTTACAGTTTCACAGTGTTCCATCAAATATTGAGGATGTAAATCAGGTCAGCAGCTCTCTTGGCCACTGCCTGCATAATCGTTGTGGTGGGCTATAGAGGTTTCTTATGCATTTAAGGTTTTCTGTCAGAGGGTTTATGTTATTCGTCAGTCTTTTCTTATTGTTTTGGGTAGGCAAAGTCGTTTTGTCGTTCCGATCATTCATAACTCTTCAGGATGTTCTCCAAATTCGATGTTATTATATCCTTTGGAAAGCTCAATTATTGCTCTTCAAAGCCGTATGAATGGCTTTTTGATTTAATGCCTACATAAGGAATAAATAAACAAATACTCCTTATAGATTTTATTTGTTATCTGCATTTGTAGTTTGTTTACGAAGTTTACTGTTCAAATCATTTTGTGTAGTTTATGTCGCCCTAAATTCCTGTCACATTTCTTGTAGATAGCTAAAATCATATTAAAAACTTTTTTGTGATTTTCGAAAAAAATCATGTGAGGGATCCAAACATTAAGCCTGGAAACATAGCCAAGCTTGTTCCAATGGTTTTCTATGCTTGTGTGTGACACAATTAGGGCTATAGCAATCTCTCACACTGATTGAGTGGGATTTTGATCAACAATGGCCTTAACATTGCTCGTTTCAATTTCATGTGGGTGACCAGACTGTTGAGCATCATTGATGTCAAAATTTTCTGAACGAACTTTGGCAAACCAATTTTGACAGGTACACTCGGTGGTTAAGGCATCATCCCCATAAATACTGCAAATTTTTCTATGAGCTTCTGCAGCACATTTATCTTTTTTTAAATAATATGACAAAATATGCCGATAATGAATGATATTTTCTTCCATATTCACAGTGCAATAGCAAACACAATACTAAACTAGTTTCAACAAGAGTTAACAGATATAGTTGTTGACACATTACAAACAGGATAAACAATCCACCTTAGGGATTAATTCATCAGATAAGAAGTGTATCATAGTGACATAAAAATAAACAGAAAAACCGAAAGGACTTATTTGTCAACCCAATAAATACTCGAAATATCTACAAATATATCATATAAAAATTGTAGCTATGTAGTATACTCTCACTAATTAAATCAAGGAGTTCAAATTAGTGAATCAAATTTGAATTACCAAACGAGAGGAAAATAACTTAATTTCATTATAGCAAAGCAATTTTTAAATTTGTCATACCTCCTTTTTTTTAAATATCAGCGTTAGTAGACTTGGGAATGTCAATGAACCCCCGACAAAATAAAATCCTAGTGATTTCTGGGAAAGAGGAAGAAGTACAAACACACAAGCACACATACACCTCTTTTATGATTGAGGAGCTGGAAATTGTTGGTGACTTCTCATATTAGTAAGATAGCCACCATAGACAAAAAACTGTCAACTACAATTGCAAAAGCAAATAAAATCTATTAGCAAATTTGCCATACTGGAGTAGGTAAAATTATAAATAAAAAATAATCAGATTAATTAAACTAGAATAATAATATCACAATTAAGACATATTAAACAACAGAAAATGTTTTAGAAGGAACATAACTTACTGTGTGACAAGAGGAAGCATTCCTGTTCTGAACAAGATTAGCAACTGTTATAACTAACAATGTCAAAAATAATGCTATTTGGAATTGTAGGTGTTGATTCTTCGCCCGACAGGTTGCCGCTGCCGTGCAAGAAAAGATTGACCATGACCTAAACTTGCTAACCTCTGCTCGACAGCTTCTCTCTGTTTGACTTGGCCTAAGTTATGAAATGCAACTGTTATCAATTTTTCTTCCATTTCAGAAACTTTCCTTGTTTCTTCAAGTTCTTTTTGTAAGTCCTTAACAGATTTTTGGCTTTCAGCTAGCTGGTTCCTCAAAAGGCTTAAGTCAGTATTAGACAAATCAAGACTAGGCTCGATGGCTTTGGCTACAGTTTTCACTTTCTCAACATATTTCTTCAATTTTTCTTCGCCTTCTTGCAGTTCCAGTTCTTTTTGATTTAATTTTACAGTCATTAGTGAAATTACTTGTTTATTTTCAGCTAAAGCATTATCTTTTTCTTCCAATTCAGCAGCGTACTTTTGCCTTTCCCTTTGAAGTAATTGCTGGAGTTCCATAAGTTTTATTTTATCACCCGACTCAGACATTTCTTTAAGTTCTCCTTCAAGTTGTATAATCTTACGATTTGCAGCCCGATTTTCTTCCCACATTTTGTCAACTTGAGCTCGGGCATCATCTAAAAGATTTTGAACAACCGATAAAGAATCTTCCTCTTTTTCTTTTTGAGCAAGTCTTAACATGTTGTTTTCATGTTCAAGCCTAGCTACTTTTTGCCTGAGTTCTGAATGAGATATAAGACTTTCAGAAACCGAACCACCCAGTTCTGGTCCACCACTAGTGTTAGTTACTTGAAACTGAGCACAACGAAGTTCTTCATTAGTTTCCTTCAAAGAATCTCTCTCCACCTCTAACCTCTGCTTTTCTCTTAAAGCAGCAGAGAGCTTGTCTTGCATAACTTTATTATCATATTGCAATTTGTCCACATGTTTGGTTTCTTCTGATAATTTCTCTTGAAGGTCAGAAACCTGCCTTTTCAGAACATCTAACTGCGATTTAATTGGTGAAACCCTTTTTATTTCTTCTTCAAGTTCTATATTGCGTTGTAAATATTCAAGATTTTTTGCTTCCAACATCTTGAGCTCTCTTTTAAGGTCACCAGTTTCTTCTAGTTTTTTCTTATATAAATTTAATGTTGCCTCATATTTATCAGCTTTATCTGCAGTTTCCCTGAGAATATCTAATTCATCTTTCAATTGCCTAGCTTCAATTGCAGTTTTAGCTGCTTCTTCAATCTTAATTTCTAAATCAGCAATTTCTCTTTCCTGTTCTTCCGTTTTTAATCTGTAATCATCGCGTGATGTTTCAAGCTTAAAAACTTCCTCTCTTAAAGTTTCAATTTGTTTCCTTAGGGCTGCTTCAGCTCCTCCGACTTCTAATAGTCTTCTCCTTTCCTCAAGAAGAGTTGATTTTTCTTCTTGAAGAAAACCAACCTATAAAAGATAAAATATTAATAATAAAAGATATTACTGCATAAAACAGGAAATAATTTGATACTACATCACAGGAAAACGTATAGATAAAAATTTATAATTATTGATTAAAAAAACTGGAACTGATTCCTCCTCGAAAGGCAGTGTTTATCAAAAACTTTTATTGCCTTCATTTGAGGAGTTCCTTTAGCGTTATAGGAAACTTAAGTGGTATACCTCAAGACTAGAACCTATTTAATATTCCCTGATTTCATATCTGACTGATTCTTTAAGTGTGAAAGTCCAGACATTACTTTGATTTACCTAGCAACGGATTATTTTATTAGTTACATTTGAATAGTGTTTCATTTTTAAAAATAAAAGAAGGTTATTCAATTAGAAATAACCTTTCAAGGAAGTAAAAAAAGTTTTGGTTTTTAAAGGGAGTTCATTGAAATTTTACCCAAAATATAAGTATCAATAATAAAATTAACTTTGTTCATTTTCATCATCTAAAATTTAATGAGTTTCCCATTAATGTTATATAATATTAAAAAACGTATCAAAGAGGACAGTATTAATGCAACAACCGAGTGCTTTTGATTTGGATGGCAGTTTGGATTTTGCATAAATTGAATTTTGTGGCAGAACCAAGGAATAAATTTAACACTCCCCCTCTGAATAGAAACCACTGTTAACCTGTTTATAGGGGCATATCTGGCCAACATTAGACCATATAAGTGTAAACTAAATTAATAGAAAACTTAGTAGGTGATACCGGTGATATAGGAAATTTTTCAGTAGTCATAAAGAATATTGATATAAAAATACATTCAGAAACAAATATGGATGGAAAACAAATTGAACTAGAGATAATAAATAAAACGGGCGCATATTTGAAATTTTAATATTTATATTAGTGATTTGATGGTTGACTGTAGTGAAAATTGAAGAGAAGTTGGTTGAGGTGTTCATTAAAAGAAAAAAAATAGATAAATGATATTTATCCCACCCATTCCCGTAAGACGTTCTTATGGAAACCTTCCGTACGATCAGCCTTGATGAAGGCCCGAACTTTAGTAGAGCCGAAACGTCGGTAAAAATAAAAAACATTTATTTTTATTTTTTTACTGAACACCCCAACCAACTTCTCTTCAGTTAATATTTAAATGTATTTTCCATATCATAACACATTAAACTGATATATCAATAACGGACATATATATAAAAAATATTATCAGTACTAGTTCTTAAGTGCTACTCCAATATGATGGCAGACATTTGGCGTTCCTGGGCAATGAGGTCTCTCCCTCCAAAAAATGAAATTTATTTCTTAAGATGTTTTATATTAAATAATATTTGTATTATATTTCATTACATATTTCTATAATTCAATTGCTTAATTAATATTTCTCATACGTTGTATTTTTCTTTTGAATTGCAGACAATAAGTAGACGCATCCCGTCAGACTGGTGCCCCACAGTGGAACGAAAGCATCTTTTTGGGGACAAAATTCCATAAAAGACAAACAGTATGAGATAGGTAACAGTAGATGATTGATTTTTACAGCTATGTTTGTGCTGAATCGATTGATACATGAAACGTCTGGGCAGGGTGGCTGAATGGGCTCACGTGTGTGAACAGAACTGCCGTTGTCCGGCAACTTGATATATGACTCAAATTATATAAAAATAGTCAGGAGTTCGCGTCCCGGTGCCAAGGGAGTCTTTCAAATCCCTGCCCATACCACTGGGTATGGTATTTTGGCTCTTTTAAATATAGAAGTATTATTTATATCAATTAATTTCTTATCAAACAATATTGATATGTTGTTGGTAAAATTGCATCCACAAGCAAAGGTAATGCTTCTTTATTTTACCAAAATTTTCTGAAAGCTAGACTCCCTTTTTCACCTTTCGATTTGCTGTCTGGTTATAGCCAGTAACTCTTAAATGAAATTTGAAATTCGTTTGATCAGTTTTCTTTGCAATTAAGTTAGAAAAAAATAACAAAAGAAATGTGCCAAAAGAGTGGTCGCGGCTAAATTGTCGCTGAAGATGTTTACTACTATCCCAGTGACGATATGAAACTGCAATGGATGGTGGCTTCTGGCTGCAAAATTAGGTATTCATTAATTAAGTAAAAAAAAAAAAAAAAAAAACAATATAAAAATAACTATAAGGACGAATTCAGGAGTCCCAATAAGTATTCTGCACTGTTATTTCCTTGAATTTTGTCATTACCTTTCAGCTATAATTTAATATAAATCGTTATTACATTTCATTTATTCTCCTAATAACACCAACTTTGGAATTAAAATACTAGGAAATAGGTATTTTGCCCCCGATTTTAGCGTTTCGTTCCAATGTGGGTCCATAGGCAAATACATCTTCAGGACGGCATAAGCATAACAACATACACTAGATAGAATTTTTATAGAAGCCAAATATGTACAAATGCAGATAGAGGTCACCTATTGTTAAACCTTATTTTAAAGGTATACAAATTATTACTTATTTAATCAGATTATAACTGATGCCTGTTGCTTACTAAAGAGATAAACAAATGAATCTTTTGCCTTAAGGACAAAGCATTACCAAGAGTCCTTGTCAGTCGAGATAGATTCTTTTCAACTCATAATCAAATAATTTTCAGTTATCCATATCAACTGATAAGAAAATGACCTCAACTAAAGAGGACCCATTGAGAGTCCAGTAATAATTTTAATAACCACTATTAATAATTATAACAAATATTAACTCTACTTTGGAAGGTGGAGTTAATATTTCTATCTAATTTAAACAAATATTCTTTAAAAGTGAGGACAAGTATATCATTACATACAAATATGTCATTACTCAGCAACTTTCAACATTCCATCTACAGTTTAGTCGATGTGAATTTATAAATAACACTAAAATTGGAGTTACACTTGAGAACTAGTACTAGATTATCCATAGACAGCTATGACCTAGAAAACACAGAGCTGTCTTGCTTTTAACCAAACAATGCATGATCATGGTATCAATCAAAAATTTAATAATTCATATATAGCTAAGGGTTAACAATATCAAAGTAAGTTGTTGGCCATAGAATTTAGTTAAAAAATATAATAATAAAAGGTATACAAACTGTACCATTTTATAACAAATATATACTGAGCTATTAACCTGTAAGTCTAATTCATGACATCTTTGTTCAGCTCTCTCTCTAGTTAGATTTGCAGCATTTAACTGGGATAGCAAATGTTCGACATGAGGATCTAATGAGAGACTTGCAGAAAAACTAAGAGCACCACCACTGTCTAGTTCTTGAATACACTCCATCATCGCTCTTTGCTCACTTTCTTCCATATCCATTATGCGTTTAATGTATTCCTGTTTATTATTACAATTAACAGCACAGCCTAGTATCAACTGAATCATCCTCCCCATTTCAGCTGGGTCATTCATTTCAACTATCTTGCTTATATCTGGTTTTACACTGGAGCTAACACTTTGAGAAAAGGCTTCTTGGTAGTAATCAAGCACCTTTTCTAATATTTTTTTTAAATTACTCATTTTAATTCTCCAATTTCCATTGACATCTGTCTTGATCTTAGTCATCCAGACAGAAGTGAACCACTCAGGAGCAATTTGATTAAGAACTTGACTGAGAACAACTCCATCAGTTAAGTCAGCTAATGTTTTATATTTAACTCCAACTTCAAATGTCTGCAACCACTTAAAAAGTATATCACTAAGTTCAGATTTATTCATTTTGATAATTAACTATTTAGATATATACTTAATAACACGCGATACTGATTTTCATTATAGAAAAATATTCTCGAAAAGGATAAACTAATGAGATTCTAGAAAACTGTTAATTTGTAGAACTTGAATGATAGGCAACATACATAAAAACAACTTTTCTGTTCACGAATGCACCTAAATCGTATAATCGATAGTGTAAGAGAAAGTTAAAATACAATGAAATATCATTCTTCATCTCACTGGAAACAAACAATTATTCTTTTAACAAGTAGGTAATTCTTCTGAAAAATAAATATAATTTAATTTATCAAGAAGTGACTATTTTATAAATCTTTAGAAGAGAGAAATAGTTTTAAGTAAATCTTTAATATTCTAAACATCTTCCGAAGGCATAAAATAAATTATTGTAGAAACAAAAACCCACAAACATTCACAAATGCTGGTACGATCCTCAATTTGGATAAGTTTACAATTACCATCTTTTAACATACGGTTGTTCAGAAGAGGATAGTATGAAACATATTGTTTTATAACTCTCAAAAAGGTCGTAACTGTAATACATTGAGCCAGTTGCAAGGGTGTTGGCTAACGGAGAATCATCTTTTAACACTCAAATCCATTGGTCAGCTGGGTATAAAGTGTACAGCATATGGTTTCTTAGATCTTCGTCCGTCGAGTTGAATGGAGAACCTTAGATGGGAGTAAGATAATTACAATATGAGAACCATCATATATTATTATTGGTGTGCGAGGCTCAGGTCGAATTCTTAGAAATTCTGCAGACTTAAAAAAGAGGCCACTGGACTGTGTCTTTACCTTACAGCATCATGCCTTATACATTGCCTCACTGGTAGTTTCGAGCACCTTTTACAACTTCCCTATTCGTACTTCCATTACTGCAATCTTTGTAAAATTGCCCCTCCTTAGATTAGCCACAGAGTTTTAATTTAAACTTAATCCAAGACAGCCTGTGTAGGTTCAGAAGCAGTACAATGAATTCTAATCTATAGTCCAATACAGGTCTACATACTTTTTGTATACTGTCTTTAAAATATCCTCAGTAGCTGCCCACTTGGTCACAGATGAGTCTCAATCGGAGTTCTACGATGTTTGTGATTTTACCGATGTGGAATAAGAAATTTTCTTTTCTTGTTAATGAATTATTTTCATTTATTTTATCCATTTATATCTCAAGTATTAAAAGTAATTTATAAAAAATTGAAAAAATAAAACAAACAAAAAAAATGCTCTAAATTCTTTTCTTTTTGTGCGATATAACTTATACAGCTTAAAAAAATAGAATAAATGGTTTGGGTGGGATAACAGTATTTTATAACTAGAGCTAAAGGAAAATTATATCAAACGAAAATAAAAACCTCTGCCAAGGAAGGTCAGATCCTCACAATTTTCATTGGCTACACGTTACCTGTATCTCTAGGTCTATAATTTTTCATTTGAGAACAGTATCTTTAGGAGAAACTGTTTTCGAAATACAGTAATATTGATCTGATAACTGAAAGTTTTCAAGATCAGCGAATACAAAAATGTAGAAGTGTTCCACATTTGTGAATTGCGTATTTTACTATTCGCGATCACGAAACGAAGTAATTCCTATTACTGTTTGTATGTGCGCATTGAACGAATATACTTATGTACTTAATAAGTATGTTTCCATTCCTAAAATATATGGGACAAAATTCAATTTTATTTTTGTTTAGCGTTAACAAAACCAATTTTTTCCATTGGTCACTTCAAAACTAATTAGAGAAGGAATATACGAATATGGGTGAAGTTTAAAAAGTAAATAAAAATAAGTTTTATACATAAATAAAATTTATTGATGCTACGATTTACCTTTGAACAATAACTAATTCAAAAATGCATGTCTGTGACCCCTTTCCATATATCGAGTGCCTACCTGATTTCGTAGCTATTATAATTTTCTTATTATTTTAACTGTTATCTATATTAATTTTAATTGTAAAATGGAATTTAATGAAATTGGTACCAGACAATTATCGCAATGTTTTTCAAATTTCTCTAACTTTGTGTCAGATCAAAATAGCTGTTTTCAAACTATAGGCCTGTATTTGCAGATCCGAAAGCTAATGTATTTTTTTTTATGTAAAGGATGGAATTTGATAGCATTATTACCTACTAGATCATTTTTTCATCAATCCCTTACTTTTCTTCAAATTTTACCCTAATCGAACGGGTGTTTGTACATATATAAGAGAAAGTAGTTTGTGGAATTCAGTGAGATTGATATAGTATCATTTTTTCACCTACACCCAGCTTTCTTCTAGCTTTGGGCCAAGTATAGTAAGTAGGCTAGTTATATCTAAGAAAATACATTTACGTGCTTGTTAGCAAAAGTGTGAGGTGGAATTGGATTATATTTTAACCGTCTAGACATCAACCCGCAAGATCTCTGAAACTTTCATGAAAAACGGTGCTAATTAATTTACCCATCACCTGGAGTTGACTACATGATAAGAAAGCAAATTTGTTTCTTGATATCTGAACGGTAATACGCCAGTATAAATTTACGATTCCAAGCACACAAAATGTTTTAACCTCAGTCATGAATGCAAAGCTTCCCTTGTGAGGAATCAGTTTGAACTATTCTTATTTTGAACAATTTACTTATATTCTTGTAGTTTATATTGAACAATTCAACTTATTTAACTATTTAAAAACTATTCAACCGCTTAGGCAAAACGTTAAATAATTGAGTAAAAAAACAAAACAATAAATCCTGTATCACTTTCTTGGGTATCAGTACTATTTAGGGAAAGTACTGTTTCAAGGCCAACAGTTATGCAAGGATAAGAAGTAATTAATAATTTATAATTGATAATAATGATTAATTAATAATTGATAAATAATTTAATAATTGATTAAACCATTTAAAAAATAAATAGAAGTGCACAACAGATCAGTGTCATTCAGGTCACAGTTTCCTTTATTTTTGTTTTGAATATAAATACTTTCCTGGGAATTTAAATATAATTTTTAAATCATTTAAGCTGCCAAATATCTTTTTTATGTTTTGTTTTTGAAGATTTTATTATTTTTAGAAACTTCGAGACGTATAGGGGGGAAAGAAAAAAGTTGAGAATTTAGAAAGAACTTTTCTCACATCAATTCAATTTACGAATTTCTAACTCGATACCATTAACTTATACGAGCCATAGAAGTGCACAAAGAGTTAAAAAGTGAAAAAATGGTTACTGTCAAAATGCACTTCTCAAACTCCAACTCAATTTAAATATGGAGGAGGGGAGTTGTTTTGCACATGCGTTGCTCGGCAATATGATAAACAGATGTTTACAAGATATAATAATTACGAGTGCTGGTGCTGTAGGGGCTTTAAACTCTGACATTGATTTCCTGCCTTTCCGGCGGGGAAAAATAAAAATGTTAAAAATATCTCGATTTAAATACAAAATCTATTCCATATAAAGGTACTCTCTTTAATAAAATAATAATAATTTATATATATGACGTTTCCAGATCTTCCATCTATATGTACAGACCAGTACTCGAATATACTTCTCATAAAATAAAATAAAAAGTGTAACAGAAGTATGTGTTGCGATAAGCGCTTACATTACAGTATATGCAGCTGTACTCATTGTTTATTTGAGGCCTCTGTTTTCAAAACCGATTAAATTCGTTTTCAAATATGCTTCAGGACTAATCAAAAATGCTTGGTAGGAAACTGAATTTTTCAGAATTGATTTTTTGAATATCTAAACGGGTTTGATACAAATACATCTAATTTTATAAAAATAAACATTAAAAACTTGTGAAAATAATAAAATATTTTTTCTCTCAATAAAATTATGTAACCTATCTTGTTTATCAAATAGTACAAGTTAGGTTTCATGAGGATTTTGTTTCTAAAGCATTCATAACTTCTCAGGATTTTCTCCAAATTCAACGTTAGTACAACCGTTGAGAAGATAAATTAATACTCTTCTAGCCCACTTGGACAACTTTTATGATTTCATTCCTTGTAATATTAACTAAGAAAACTATTTTCAATGCACCTTGGTACATTTCAAATAACACTATACACTTTCGGGCTGAAGCTCCCCCAAAATGGCAAAATATAACCATGTTTTATCGAAAAAAATATTAAACAAGTATCTCTTAAAGTATTATTGTTCGTGTGATTAATATTAAAAGGGCTTTAAGAATCACTGAAACACCATTTCATACAGGTAGTTAGTTTCTTTCTCTTTTTCCAAAGTAATTATCGTTATTTTTATGAAAAAAAACTTTCGGACTGAAGCCCCCCCAAAAATTAAATCCTGGATCCGCTAGTGTACACAACGACTTAAACATCTAACAGTGAAATGCTACATACACGACAATCACACTTCATTTCATTTTCCAATTATAAATCACTTCAATCTGTCTTCGGTTTATTTCGTATTTGTTTTAAATTTAAGTAACGGAGTAATGTTTTACAGTTCTAAATCGTTTCTTAAATCTGATAACTGCCTGGTTTAAAATGATCGGGAAAGTAAAATTTTCCACTATCCTTTCCCCAATAACCTTTGTCCTCCATCGAAATTGTTTGAAAATATAATAAATTTGAAAAATTAAATAAATAAATAAAGTAACAATAAAAACACAATTTCCAACAGAGCTTAATCTTCTCTGTAAATTACACAATAATGTTTTAAAGAACAACAAATTGCAATTTTAAACTGAGCATATTTCTGCAATACAGAATGTATATTTAGAAACATAACAATATTTATGCTTGAACCGTTTATTCCATATTTTGTAATTATTGTAAATTTATATATTTAAGCATTTATTAAGTCAGTTTTTATTTAAATCTTCAAAATTTTTGCACAATAATATTGACTGGAATCATTAGATTTATTTTTTAAATCTAAACTAATACAGTCATAATAACAAAAGTGCGTGAAATCTATTTACTTTTTGTACCATTCGATTCAGAATAGCAAAATACATAAGTAACGATCCCTAATTGAGCTTTGAAGTCAAATGTCTAAGGTAGGTAACATTTTTTTCCTAAAATAAGGTGTTTTGCACCACTGTGCGATGTAGCGATAAAGCAGTAAATATTTTTTTAGAGCGAAACAAAGTTAATTTTGATAGGGATATTGTTAGGGCTCTGTATGCTACATAAAATTATACAAAACCGACCTCCGAAAACAAACTAGAACCAAAGATATAAAATAAAACTGATCGGGAGGTTTTTCTTAATTTCTAATTTAAAAATCTGGTGCGCGCAACACTTTTTCAAACTTAAAAATATTTTAAAAGTATATGTTAAGTTAGTAAATTTCATTTAATTTTCTTGAAAACATGTGATTAACGTTAAATGATATTAGTTTTCAAAAATTATTATAAATAATTTTTTGCCACTCTCCGTTACCTTCTAATACTTTCTATATTAGATATTGTTTTTTTCTAGAATCCTCCGCTTCCCAACGATATGTTATACGTATCCTCCTGACTAGTATTTCTGGAGATTCATTTTCGACCTGGATAAGCATTTTTAATTTTTTCCCCTTTATTCAATTATCAAATTCTTTCAAATGTTATAATTAATATGTTTTCGTAACTCGTAATAATGAGAGATAATTAATTATTTAAAATATACAATATTAAAGATACTTTGGAGGAAGACCGAACATTGGGCATTTAAGTCATGTAAAGTGACATCAACGGGGATAAGACCTAAATGATATTAAAGACCACTTAATTATATAGTGATACACCGAGTTTAATCAAAATCATTAGAGCCGTTTTTGAGAAAAATGTGTTTCACCGTTGATATAAAGTGGCACTTCCGGTTAGCCGATTTTAAGAAAAAAGTTGCTGTCATATCTAAGGCATATACCTAACTTAAATACGTAATATCAGTTTCGTACGACTTTTCGTTTTTAGCTAGACTGCTAACATACCCACACACAAACCATTTTTCGGGACTTTGTTATTTGCACTCAGGGTATCTCAAAATGTGTACTTTCGTTGAAAACTCAGATTCAAAAATTTTCATTTACAATACTTACCCTTACTATATATTACATATATATACCTAAGTGAATGTAAAAATGAATGAAAACTAGTAAGAGTAGTAATTCAGCTTCTCATCAGTTGGATTTGGATAAAATCCTGAGAAGTTATGAATGCTTTAGCTTACTTACTTACTGCATGGTGTTACGGTCCACTAAGAACCAAAGCCTCCTCCAATATCCTGCTCTATTCTACTTTATCCTTGGGTTTAGTTAGCCATCGCCTGATGTTCAGCTGGCGGAGGTCCTCTCCCGCGTCGTCCAGCCATCGTTTACGAGGCTTACCTCTCCTTCGTGAGCCACCAGGATGACCGTGCAGCATTTGCCTAGGCAATCTCGACGTAGACATGTCCAAGCCAGCCCAATCTTCTTTTCTTTATGACATTAACTATGTCCACTTCTGGAAATAGTTTTTTTCAGCTCGGAGCTCGTTCTCGCTCTAAACCCGTCGTCCTCTCGCATAGGGCCAAATATCCTTTTTAGAACTCTTCTCACCCAGGTTTTTAGCCTTTTCTTGTTAGCTGCTGTCAGTTACTGTGGGCCTAATTATAGTCTTATAAAGCAATACCTTAGCTTTTCTTAAAAGATTTTTATAAACTAGGGACGAGCGAGCGCATTGCCTATAGACACTCATTCTCAGCAGGAACTCCAGCCTTTATGTCCTCTGTCGTTTCATTTTCTCTTGTGACGATTCCACCCCGAGATACATGCAGGGTGCTCCCCTATCTTAACCTCTTCTTCCTTGAAAATACCATCTTTAGTGGTCTTCAGGTATTTCGTTTTTGCTTTATTTACAACCAGGCTCAATTCATTAGCAACTGTTTCAAACTGTTCTAGTGTCCCTTCCAGTGCCTGTAATGATCTTGCCGATATCGCAACATCATCGGCATAGCCTCTATGTTGGGTTAATCTGTCATTAATGTTTCCTCCTGGCTTTGTTCTAATTTTTCTAATAGCATATTCTAAGGCTAGGTTAAAAAGCGCAGGCACAGTTAATGCTTCAGCTATGGGACCAGAAAAAAAATCCTCTAAGAAAATCAAGTATTAAATTTTGCAATTTTTGATTTCTATAAACATTCTTATTTAAGAATTTTAAGGGACACTAAAACTAATCTAACTAGATTTTTCAAAACAAAATTTTATTTGGCCTACTTTACTGTAAGCCTCTTTTAGTTTTTGTAATTTATGATCCCTCATAACCCATCATAGTATTTTTTATAGTATTATATTTTTTTATTTTTCTACACAATAAAAATAAATCGATTGATATTTAAGCCTTTCAGTTGACAGAATGACTATTGAGTAGTCATTTTAGTGATATATATTTGATATTTCTAGTTGGAAAATTTATGAGTAAGTTGATTTCCGAGTAGTGATTGCAATGTAATAATATAGTATTGTGAATAAAAGTATACATTTTCTGAAAAGAAATATCACTAAAATTAATAATTGAAAATGATGAAATTGGAGTTAGTCATTCTGTCAACTGAAAGGTTCATATAATACTCTAAAAATATCCAGACAAAGCAAAGGAACAAATAAAAAAATAAATTTTGTTTAAAATTGCATACAATATTTTTTTCTCGGCTCCTAGGGCTCATTGGAATGAAAGCCGTGACATGTGTTCAATATTTTTTGATGTATTATGGTCCAAAAAAATTTGTTGAAATCGGTGACTCACTGATTGTAGCCTGTCCTTGTTAGTAAGATATTCTTAATATTTATAATAGATGCAAATGAACTATGGAAGATTCATTTTATGTAGCAATATAAAGATAAAAATTAAATTAAAATTTATATCAAAGTAGTAATCTTTGAATTTAATAAAATCTTTTATCTTTCTTTATTTTTTTTTGTTGTTGTCAACAAATTTCTTTTTGTTAAAAAAGGTTATTATAGTTTCTTCTGAAAACTAAATAAAGTGTTTATTTTTAAGTTGTTATGGATATTCTATGAAATAAATGGGTGTAATTAAAGGATTGGCTAGAAAAGGGAAGAATAAAATAGATCAATAAATAAAAATCCACTTTTCCTCCTTCTCTTCTTTAATTGTGTTGAAGATATACTAAAATGCAGTTGAACATTTTAAGTTATTGAAAATAACAACACCTTAATTCATGGTATAATTTTTTAAAAATACTAAGTTTGTATTTTTTTAAACAAACTATAGTAATTTCAGTTGTATTGTAATTTTATAACTTAAAATGGTGAAAAATAAACTTGACACATTTTGAATAAAATTACTAATTCTTTATACATATGTATTTACTAATCTAGCATATAATAAAGAAACATTCTTCTAAAAATTCCACAACAAAACAACTAAAGAGACTGGAAATACACCTCTCAACTTATTGGTAACAGTCGCTTATAATACAAAATAGGTTCGAGCTGGTTCCACAACAGCACATTTTGTAGGTTTTTCGACCCATTGTGCACATCATGAATGATTAGTCTCACTTAAAGCTCTACATTTTTAATATTTTTCTTTTACTCTTTATTATTATTTTTTTTTGTAATGAGAAAGAAAAAAGATGATAGGTAATTCACAATTTTTCTCTCACATTTTTTTAAAACATTTCTTTTTTTTTAAAGGAGGATTGATTTAATTACTATAATAGATTAAAACATTGTGAGATATGGTTTAGGATTATTTAAAATGAAAATGAAGTTGGCAGGATTTCAATTAATTCAATTAATTATGGAAATAATAACATCAATACAATGAAACCTCTGCTAATGGAAATTTGTCTCTATGGATATTTTTAAATACCTTGCTCTGAAACTATAAGAATTAAAACCCTTTGCCATGAATACAGATAGCCAAATCAAATGACACTCTAAGATAAATTTATCCCTGTGAATGGACACATACAAAATGTTAAAAATACCATATTTAATTGTTTTTTGTTTTAATATAAGTATATACATATATTTAAATATGAAAATATCTTCAAGTTCTTTATTCTGTTTAATTTAATAAAACCTAAAGTTATAATAGCAACATCACATCAAAGAAATTATTCTTTCTTTATTTACTTACTTAATAAATGAAATATTTATGGTTTAATAAGGGATTTATTTTGGAGAGTGAAATGGAAACATGTTTTCGAATAGGCTTATTTAATTTTTCTATTTACATTTTGTTTTTCCTGATCTCTCAGCAGTCTTTATGCAATTCTCCTCTTTTCCGTTCATCATATTTTTATTTTAAAGATCAACATGCCTCAGTCATTTTTGTTTATTAACTTAGGACATTAACAATGACATTACATTAATTTCTTACAAATATGAAAAAGTATTAATAAACTGTATATCTTGTATAACAAAGTGATAAACATGTTTTAATAAATGTATGAAAGTATTCATATTTTAGCACATTTATATCCCTTCTCGGAGGAAGCCCCTCTGCCAAAGACTATTTGATCGGCCCAGACTAATCTATCCATTGAAGAGAGGTTTCACTGTATTTTGAAGATCTGACGAGGTAGATGGTTTTTAGGAATGCATACCTCCAAATAAATTAATGAAATTTAAGTGTGAAACTAATCAAACATCTTAAAAGTAAGTACGTTTTTAACAATTTTATGTTAGTATGCCTTCTACTTGCTTTATGACTATGTCACTAGCATTTCAGCTTATGGACTAAATTCTACCACTAATGAGCATGAAAGTAAGAGAAAATTATAAGATATTTATAAATATTCCCTATAGTGGGGATTTAGTCCAATTCTTGTTATAACTAATGATATGCTCCTAATTACATAATGAAACTAGACGACACACTTGTGAAAAAAGGAATTTCTCACCCTATAATAAAGAAAAAATAACTATTCACATAATAATACTCATTTTTATAATTAAACATCAGTAGCACAGTCATATAATCTTATAATCATGTATTCAAAAATATATTTTTTTTATCACAAAAAAATCAAACCCCAGGATTTTATACCCGCATCCTGGAGGAAAACATAAATAACATTACAATAAAAATCAGCGATTACATAACATCATTTTTTTTTAATTTTTTTTATTTTTTATATAGAATGTTGGATTAAAGCATATAATGACAAACATTTTATCAAAACCAACTTTGATACAGGTAATTTTTCTTTATAGTTATGTAATGTTAACATAATAATTCTCTTTTCTGTCTTAATTCATCATTTTAAAAATGAAGAAAATGTTTAAACATGATTCTCATACAACAGCAAGCAAGTTATGAAGTATTTGAGCAGCTTACTTTCAAAAGGGCACATAACCAATTAAGAAAATTGTTGAGTTAGATGGGAAAACAGATGAGACTGTTAGTGAAATACTTATTTGGGCTTTCTGGATGTAGTATTAGATGAAATAGGCATAACAAATAATATCCTTTAAAGTAAATTTAAACAAAAGTTTGGAAGATATGGCCATATTTATTTTGGCTATGTATATCTATAATTATTTTTACTCTAAAAAAATAAATAAACCTAATACAAAATATATAGCCAGGGATTAGAAGTAAATAAAAATTGTAAAAAAAAAGAGATTAATATTTGAAAATATAACATTAGAAATATCTGCAATCAAATTGGCAGAATTTCAGATAAAAATATATTTAGTTTTCACTTTAAGTGACAACAATAAAAAAAAAAAAAATCTTTAAAAATATTATTATTATAAATTTTATGGCAAGAAAAAGGTATTTAATTACAACAATAGTCTTGAAATCTGCGTGACAGAAGCAGAGGTGCCCATTCCCCCCAGGTCGATGGCGCATGAATAACTCCCTCTCTTTGGAGACATTTTATCGCTATCCTCTTTTTAAAAAAGAGCTAGACATATTAGAATTAGTAAATTCTAAAATCATATGCAATTATACTTGATGTGAATTTTTCATGTTCTTCTCTGGTTCCCAAGTTTGAAACTTTCCATTCCAAAAATTCAAAACCCCTTCGAAATTTGCTCCCTGAAAAGTTCAAAACCCCGTTAAAATGTGTCCACTCTCAAAAATTTGGATGATGCAACCTGCATTGTGAAATCCCCTTCTTGGCACCCCTGGTCAGAAGTAACATTCTTCTCAGAGATGTTTTGTTTTAATCATTTAAGTTAAACTAATTCTATTGAAGAGGTAAAAAAAAAAATTATAGTTATGTTTTTATGTTTTGTGACTTAACATTACTCATAAAAGGTTTGAGTGGAAACAATATATTAGTAATCATTAATGCATTTGTTTATATGGGAAATGGTTGAAAGGATTAGATTAATTTCATCCAAATGGCATTCAAAACTTGGACATTATTTTATTTTATGTATTAGTGCTCCTCATTTTTGGAAGTAAGCTTCTCATTTATTTTTAACTATAATTATTTTCCAAAATTGCACTTTAAAACAACAAAAAAATCTGTTCTAATCATAATACATTATTTCTCATCCATTATATTATTATATAATATACCTAACTAACTGGCATTTTTATTAAAACAGTATACAAACTGCTTGACTAGATTGGTTTGATGTTATCAACATTACTGTATTTTTTCAACTTCTTCCCTTGGCTTAAATCCTAATTTATATCTTATAATTTGCTTTAACGATATGGCGATGATTATGTCAAATAAAAAAAAAAGACAACAAATGACATAACAACAATATCTATGATAAACAAAGAAGAAAAGAGAAGTATTTGCATGATGTTAAAAATATTATACCATAAAACTTAACTACAAATTGCACCTAATATTCGATGTAACATTATAACATCGAAATAATTTATTAAATATTTTAATAACATCACGTATATTTTTTTATTCACACTATAAACAGTTTTAATTATACTCAAATTTAATATACACACACATATTATTGCATTCATCCACATGCATAAATAAATGTATGTGTGTGCATATGTGTGTGTTTTCCTTTGAATATAATTATCTGCTTAAGAAGCATTAAAGAGAATTTGAGGTCTGATAACAAGTATAAATTTGATAGACTATTAAAACAATAAAAATAATCATATATACACACATATACACATACACGCAGATCTTTCATATTCAATGCATAATGTTTCATGTCCATGGTAGTAGCTATGCAGGCTCCAGGTTAGCCTGGTATAATGAATTATTGTTCTGCTCTAGTTCTTCCCTCCCTCCACTTTCTTCACTGCATTCAGCATCTAGGAACCTGTTGACAAGAAATATATGTAAATAAGCTGCGTTAAAAAATTACATCCTATAAAAACTGGTTTTAGACTTATTTTCTTAATGTAATAAACTATCTTTAGTATGTAATATTAATCTAGTGAAATGCATACAACCAAAAGCTATTCCAAAATCCTTCAAAGAAATTAATAAAATGATAAGAGAAAGTGGAGAGTAAAGAATAAAATGGCAAACCACTGTTTGTCAACCAACAATAACTATAACAATTTTATCAAAAGAGTCGCACTAAAAATGTTTAAAATTAGTTGCATAAATTTAGATCTTATAATCAATTTTTTTTGGATGACATCTTTTGTACAATTTATATATTCAAAGTAGTATAGGCTTCCACCACTATAAACCATTTTTTTTTTAATTATCAAGTACATTATGTATAATATATTAAGTATTACATCAAGTTATAATTACATCTCATCTCTGAACAATTTGCAGTTTTATTGTTTTGTTTCCCCTTATCATTTCTTACATTGCATTTATAAAATATTTATTTATTTTATATTGCCAAGAACAACTTGGCTCCACTAAGGTATATTCAGGTACACACATTTTAAATGGAAAATCTAATCAATAAAGTCAAACAAATGTAATTAAGGTCTTAAGTGTAATCCTTTAAGGGATCTCCTCAGCACAAAAATGAAAAAAAAATCTTTATATTTTATATGTATATATTATGGGGGCTCTGCAAATAGAATGGGTTCAATAAATATAAATAAACTAAAGTAAAGTCAAGCTTGTGTGAAAAATGAATGAAATCATATTTATTTTGATCTAATACTTTATTTATGTAAATTACATTTGTGATTGGATGCATCTAGACAAAGGGTTCCTTAAATTATTTCCTCCGAGAATTCCACCTCGTACAACATTTCTTTTAGGGACCCTTTCCCAATCCATGGAATTTTACATTGTTCATAGTGAGTTATGTTGCAGGACATTTATTGAATGACTTATTTGAATAAATATTAAAACATGGGAGATACAAAGTTATTGTAATAACTTCCTGTCTGTACCTGGGGGTACCGTAAAGAACTCAGGAATGAATCTAATATAATCTTTTATACATCCAAACATTAATCTAAACCAAGGAATAGGAAAAGAAAAAGAAAGTGGAAAAGAATAGGATGGTGATAGAAAACAAGAAGGACGCTTTGTGCCAAGAAGAAATCTGGACTTGAAATGGATTTTGGTTCAACTTAGCAATGATAAAAATATGACTTATATATTTTTACACAACCATAGTTGCTAAAAGCTAAATGATTAAGGTTATTTTTAAGAAAAATTAAGTATCCCCTTCTAAGATGATGGATCAAAGATTATATTGACCATACTTTAGTTACTTATTTTAAAAGTGAATTGAAAGGGAAATCATTACATATAAACTGGTAGAAAAAAATGTATATAGATATACATAGTGTATTTAATTTTTCAATCACAGCTATTTTCACCCAACTAATTGAGGGTTATGTATTTGGGCCATCTGCTAAAAGCTATATAACAAATTTTTGAGTGAACTGCTGGATCATTTTTTAAGTTTGATCGCTCAAATTATTCTGCGAGATTCTGTTAGTGTTTTAAAATAATTTAAGCTAAAAATTCTGTCAAATTACAGTGTAAAGTGTGTTTAATTAATCCATTAAAAGGTACTTCAAGATTTTTTGAGTGGATGATCAATTTTTAACTTTGACGTCTGTAATTACTTAATTAGATCCTGTGAATGTTATGAAACATTTTGAGCAAAATGCTGAAAAAAAATGTTATGAAAATGATAGTAGATATGGAAGTATATTTCTTTATAGGGTGGATAAAATTTCTCAATTTCTGTAGTCGGTTTTTAAAAAATTAGAATATTGTTTTAAAGTTTATTTTAAGTATCTTTCATAAACATCGAGGAACTGCGAGGCAATACCTGCATTCATATTTATGAGAATTTTTGTGGTGGCGGGCACACAGAGAAGACCCGTTCCTCGCTATTTTAGATAGCACTCACTTATTTTTTCTGCCAAAATAAATGAAATGTAAAATAAAAGTGTTTTATATGTATATGTCTTGTATATATCAAGTATGAACGTATATATGTTGTATGTATTAAGTGTTATATATACTGTATTTTGTAACCCAAAATAAATAAAATGTCAAATGTTTGTTATTACATTTGTTTTAGACTATTTCAATTCCCATAAATATGAGTACGAAGAAAGGTATTATCAGTATCAGAATTATCAGTGTTGAGGTTATAAAACATTGATAGATAACAGTCCATCCCGACCAGCTAAGTCACATGTACCCAATTTTTTTTTTCATCACAACCCTTCCGACTTGGTGGAGGTCTCAATGCGGCCCACGTACCAAAAAGTTTGGAGACTCCTGATCCAGAGAACTATTTAAGTGGGGTTCTGTTAGACTTTGTTCATTTAAACTTTTTAAAAGGTTGGAATAAAAACAATAAAATATTTGAATGTTAATTGTATTTTTTATTGGCCAACAAATGGACTAATAGGTTCCAGTCAAAATATATTGTCGTTATGAAAAAAAAGTACATGGAGTATACAGTATTTTTTTTTAAAGGGTATTACTATTACAAGTTGTTCCTCAGCAGTGATGACCTTCAGAATAATTCTTTATGGTTATAAATTAGACTATTATAAATTATTAGGAACTTGCACAAATTACAAGGATACAAACAAAATTTAAATTTAATACAAATGAAATAGAAATTTTTTAAAACATATATTTTTAAATTCATAATGATGCCTCTACTATTAGACATATTTGGGTTATGTTAAAATCGTATTTACTAATCCTAATATTGAATATTAAAATTCTCTTCAACTTTCTCAGTTATTTTTAAACTAATATTTTTGTTACTATGATGAATTATGGATAAAATTAAAGAATAAATACAACCGACATATAATTAGTAGTGCAAAATGAATGGCAACATTGTTTTATAAAAATGTTAATAATATGTATGTCACTTACGTATAGGGTTTTTCATCGCCTCTCATCTCACATATAACATTTGTAAGAGCCATAATATAATTTTTTGCCAAAGTAAGAGTTTCAATTTTGGAAAGTTTCCTTTCCATTTTGATATGAGGAATTACTCCACGGAGTTGCTAGAAAACAAAAGAAAATATAACACTTTACAATCAGATTAGTTATATTTACAGATATTATTAAGATGGTAAACTTATAAAATATTTATATAATTGTTGTTGAAAAAAATTAAAATACCATATTTTCTATTGGGAATATGCTAATCTAGATTGGATAGTAATTTAATTGATTGATGAGCAATTTAATATCAGAGGAGCAACAAATTATTAGCCATTTTCTAAGTAAATGATTTAGTCCGGTTTTATTTTTCTTGGGTGAGTTGCATCTCCTACTGCTCCCTGAAAGCTCATTAATTCATTGTCTAAATAAGTGTAAACCTCTGGTTTTAGTTGAGTCCTTTAGCTATGGGAAAAATTTCAATTTGCTGGAATAAAGAAAATTCCAAGAAAAAATTTAAAATGAATATCTCATATTTTTTTCAACAAAGATGCAATAGAGCTGCTTGCAGATAAATGGAAAGAAATAGTCCAAGGCAGGCAGAGATGGAGCAGGCTTGTTAAGGCAGCAAAAGATTTGCATAGAAAAAAAAAGAAATCTCACTTTTTTTAGGCACTGGTAAGAGAAACTATATTTTGTTTTTAGGTTGGAAGTAAGTTTAAAATTATTTATTCATATAAGTTTAAAATTAGTATTATTAAATAAATTATAAATAATTAATGCAATGGGTATTACTAAATAAATTGTAAATAATGAATGAAATTATTATAGATAATAATATATTATAATAATTTCAGATCAGTAATTTATTAAAGTGGTACCCTTTTCATTGAATTATAAATTACAAATTGGATTGAGTAGAAAAAATAATTCGAAAACATACTTTGATTTGTTTATAAAAACATGCTTCCTCTGGCATAGTGTGCCATAAGACAGGATCTAGTGGGTCTAGAGGCAAATCCAGTCTTTTTTGAATGGCAAAACATTTCAACTAATAATTTTTTTATTTTTTATTATTAAACATTTACCTCTGATTTATCTTATTTGAAGTTTGCTTGTAATTGTTAACTTTATCACCAATCTTTCAAATATTATTCAAGTAATTTTAGTCATGTTTAAATATATTTAAGTAAAGTAATAAATGGTTATAATGAATACAATGTCTACTTTCTTTTGAAGGAAATTGTGTCGAGTTTACTATGAAGCAATTGCTAATATTGAAAATTAAATATTTTTATAGTTATTGGTTCCTGTTCTACAACAAACATATCTGACTTAAAAAATTACAAAAATAAAAAAAAAATATAAATCAGACCATGATTTATAGTAACATTTTTGTAGTTTTTAGGATCTTGTTGTCAATGATTTTTTAGGATCATTGAAACAAAGAAACTTTCAATTATAATGGGAATGACCAAAAATATAATAAAAACAAATTCGACTTCGAAATGGTTTCATCTACTATGAACAACAGGTATTTCATGGTTTGGATCAAGTTTTGCTTAAAGTTGAAATCTTATAAATTTTATCTCTAAAATATTTCTCTAATCAATGACTTTATCAAAAAAGATGCAGGTTTAATTTTATAGAGATTTTGAAGTACTTTAATATTAATCTGAATGATATTAGCGATAAATCTCGTAGTTTCTGAGATATTCTAAAAAACATGAGTTTTCTGTCATTCTCCCCATCAAAACTCTACGCCGGAAACTTTTTAGCAATTATTATGGGGAACATAATGACAAATTTCTTTCATCTCTTTTTTTTTAATGTTGGGGTCCATCGCTAATTTTACTGTACTAACGTATTCTATTAAGTTCTGGTAGCCCTGAAGACAGGTGCAAAATGGGTACTCATCCTAGGCGAAGATTTGAATGGAAATAATGAAAGTGTATGTTATTATAAGTA